TAGAGTTTTAAGGATGCAGGGTCGTGTTTGTGTAACTAATGTGGATAGACTTCGTGAGTTGATTCTAGAGGAGGCCCACAGTTCCCAGTATTCTATTCATCCGGGCACCGCCAAGATGTATTAGGACTTGCAGCAACATTATTGGGGGAGGAGGATGAAGAAGGATATAGTTGCATATGTAGCTCGGTGTCTAAATTGCCAGCAAGTAAAGTACAAGCATTAGAGACCTGGTAGTTTGCTTCAGAAGATAGAGATTCCTGAGTGGAAGTCGGAGCGTATCACTATAGATTTCATTGTTGGACTCCCGCAGACTCAGAGGAATCTTGATGCAGTTTAGGTTATTGTGGATAGACTGACCAAGTTAGCGCATTTCATTCCTGTGGCAGTTACCTATTCTTCAGAGAGGTTGACAGATATTTATATCTGTGAGGTCGTTCGTCTTCATGTTGTGCCCGTGTCTATCATTTCTGATCGAGGTACACAGTTTACCTCGTATTTCTAGAGGGCAGTACAGCATGAGTTGGGTGCGCAGGTTGATTTGAGCACAGCATTTCATCCTCAAATGGACGGGCAGTCCGAGCGCACTATTTAGATATTGGAGGATATGCTCCGTGTATGTGTTATTGACTTTGAAGGTTCGTGGGACCAGTTCCTGCCGCTAGCAGAGTTTGCCTACAACAAAAGCTATCAGTCGAGCATCCAGATGGCTCCTTATCAGGCATTATATGGTAGACGGTGTCGATTGCCAGTTGGATGGTTTGAGCTGGGGGAGGCTCGGTTATTGGGTACATATTTGGTACAAGATACCTTGGATAAGGTTAAGATCATTCAGGATAGACTTCGCACAGCTCAGTCCAAGCAGAAGAGTTACACGGACCATAAGGTTCGTGATGTTGCATTCATGGTTGGGGAGAGAGTGTTGCTCTGTGTGTCACCCATGAAGGGTGTGGTGAGGTTTGGAAAGAAGGGCAAGTTGAGCCCTAGATACATCAGGCCTTTTGAGATTCTTGATCGAGTGGGAGAGGTGGCTTACAGACTTGCGTTGCCACCTGGGTTATCAGCGGTCCATCTAGTGTTCCATGTGTCCATGCTTCGGAAGCACATCGACCCATCTCATGTGTTAGACTTCAGTACTGTCCAGTTGGACAAAGATTTGACCTATGATGAGGAGCCGGTAGCTATTCCAGACCGATAGGTTCGTCAGTTGAGATCAAAGAGTTATTCTTCAGCTCGAGTGCAGTGGAGAGGTCATCCTATTGAAGCAGCTACCTAGGAGTCTGAGTCTGATATGCGGAGTAGATATCCCTACCTTTTCACCAGCTTAGGTACTTTTCTATATTCGTTCGAGGATGAATGGTTGTTTTAGAGGTGGAGAATATGATGACCTCAAAAGGTCATCTTATATTTTAGAACTTGATTATGTGTTCGTAATCCTTAAAAATCTCATTTTTACCCTCCTTAATTTGCGTGCGCAGTCCGGGTGTGTTTCCGTAAAGCTTTTACGTTGAAAGTTGATAAAAATAAGAATTTTTGCCTTAAAAGTTGATTTTAGTTGACTTTGATCCATTTTTTGAGTAAATGAACTCAGACCCGTATTTTAACGGTCCCGATGGGTCCATAATAAAATATGGAACCTGGGCATTTCCCCGAAAACAAATTCCGAGGTCCCTAGCTCGAGTTATGATTTTTTGTTGAAAATTAAAAGTTTGAAAAATCTAATAGTTTTAAAGAACTGATTGATGTTTGTCCTTGTTGATACCGGGTAAGTATTTTGGTTCCGGAATCCGGTAAAGGTCCATTATAATATTTATAACTTATCTGTGAAATTTGGTGAGAAACAGAGTTGGTTTGACGTGATTTGGGCGTCCGGTTGAGAAAATAGAAATTTATAGTGTTCTTGAGAATTTCATTTGATTTGGTGCTAAATTTGTAGTTCTAGGTGTTATTTGCCGATTTGATCGTGCGAGCAAGTTCGTATGATGTTTTAAGACTTTTATGCATGTTTGGTTTGGAGCCCCGAGGGCTCGGGTAAGTTTCGGATAGGCTACGGAGTGAAAATGGGACTTAGAACACTGCTGGTGCATCAGATTTTGTTGCAGGTCTCAAACCTCGCAAATGCAAGGTCAATTATCGCATTTGCGATCTCTGAAGAGTTTGCATTTGTGAGCTTCTCATCGCAAATGTGAAGAGAAGCTGGGCCACCTTATGTTCGCATTTGCGAACTTTTCCTCTGCAATTGCGATGGGGACAGGGGAGAGTCAATCCTCGCATTTGCGTTCATTGGATCGCACTTGCGGTCAACTCAGCTCGCATTTGTGAGCATTTATTTGTTTTTGCGAAGGAAGCAGAAGTGTGAGAGACCTTCCAAATGTGATGGTTTTCTCGCATTTACGGGCTTCGCAAATAGTCGCAAATGCAATATCTGCAGCTGATGAAAAGAGACTTAGACGGGATTTTTCTCCCATTCTTCAAATTTTTAAAACCTAAAACACAAGAGGCGATTTTCTAGAGAACCTTTCTTCCCCAAATCATAGGTAAGTGATTCTAAACTAGCTTATTTCAATCATTCACTTCATTTTACAAGATTTCAACCTAGAATCTAAGGTTTTCATGGTGGAATTGGGGATTTTAGGGTAAAAACTAGGGGTTTAGACCTCAAATTGAGGTCGGATTCCAAAACCAATTATATATACGGGCTCGAGGGTGAATGAGTAAACGGGTTTTGGTCCGAATTTTTGATTTGGACAATGGTCCCCCGTTGGTTGACTTATTCAAAAGTAGTCTAAATTGAATCCTTTGCTACCGCGGGTATTTCCTAAGGATTAAATTGAATTATTTGGTTGGTAATTTGCTAGATTATATAGGTCCGGAGGCTTGTGTGAAGGAAAAAGCGGTGGTTGAGCTTTGAGTTGGCCGTTGGAGCGAGGTAAGTGTCGTGGTTAATCTTGGCTTGAGGGATTAGGTCTTATTTACCTATTTGCTACGTGTTTGAATGTTAGATACAACGTATAGGTGAGGTAACGAGTACCTATGTGTTATTGTCAAGTTATAGCATACGAGTGGGTCCTATTCTTGTGATTATTGCTTCCTTTGATCATATTATCCTTGTTTAGGCTAGCTACTTATTATGTTGAGCACTCCTATCTTGTTTATGAACTTTGGCATTGATTGAATATTGACTCAAAGATGAGGTTGATATTGGGGAATCAAATGTTGAAATAAGATTTGTTATTGTCATTTCTATCTTTTTGTTATTATTGTTACTTGTTCTTTGTGAGGGAGAGAGTGTAAAAGCACGAAGGGTAATGTCGTGCCATGTTTTGTGAGTGATAATGCACGAAGGAGGATGTCGTACCATATTGTGAGTGTTAATGCACAAAGGGTGATGTCGTGCCATGCAATGAGAAAGTTAATGCACGAAGGGTGATGTCGTTCCGTTTCTATTGTTTCATATGGTGAGATTGAGAGTAAAACCACGAAGGGTGATGTCGTGCAGTTTCCTTTACCATTTTTACTTGTTCTATCTGTTTAAGGCATATTGATTGATCAAGTCTTTATCACTGCTTTGTTTCTTTACCTTGTGATCCCCTCAGCATGTCCCCCTCCCAATATTGCTTGTCTTATTCTCCCTTTACTGTTGTTATTGGTATATGTATTGTTATACTGCACAGGTTATTTGTGGGTATCTTGTCTTAGCCTCGCCACTACCTCGCCGAGGTTAGGCTCGACACTTACCAATATATGGGGTCGGTTGTACTGATACTGCACTCTGCACTTTCTGTGTAGATTTTGTTGCAGGTCAGAGCTGATCTTGAGACGAGCTACTGACTTCATTCCACAGGAGACCCAAGGCAGACTTGTCAGCGTCCGCAGGCCCTGGCGTCCCCTTCTATACCTCATACTTTATTGTTTTCTTTATCTCGCAAACAGTTGTATTTTCTTTCGGACAAATACTTATAGTAAAAATCTTAGAATGTTCGTGAATTGTGACTCCGAATTTTGGATAGTAATAGTATATAATCAAAGTTGTTATTTATTTTCTTCCGCGTTCATTTAGACTTGTTACAACTTGCTTATTGTTAATCCCTGAAACGTAAAAGGATTGGCTAATAAATCCCTAACGTTGGTTTGCCTAGCAAGTGTAATGTTAGGTGTCATCACGGTCCCGATGGTGGGAATTCCGGGTCGTGACAACAGCTCATAGATGTTAGTAACTCAAATAAAACTTAAATCAAAATCAAATCAATATTAATATTAACAAAAGAAATTCAACACTTGGAATGATAAGAGTGTTGAATATCTATTTTTTCGTTTTGCATTGGTTTAAACAGTGGAAATACATAACTTAATTTAATTTTGTTTCTTTAGTATTTAGTCAAGTAATTAATGGAGTGCTTATTACCCATATTTATTTTAGCATGACTTAATACGAGATTATGATTATTTTTATTATGAGTTATTAGTTAACAATATTTGTTTATGCAATTCTATTATTGTTGAATATTTCAGTACAATACAATGGCTCATCTCATATTTTGTGTTATTTTTTTAGGAAACACTTTATATAGTTGTATCTTATTAGAACTAAAAAACAATTTGGAATATAAATTATATGTTTTGTGCTATGAAAATTTTACCAGGCAAAAAATTCGAAAAGCCGAGAAAATCCAAAAATCCAAAAAAAAAAAAACTGGATTGAAAAATTGATTTGGTGGTATGGTTTGGTTTATTGATAATCAACAATCTCTTTCACTTAAATTTCAATAATTTTCTTTTAACATGAAATGCACGGTTTTCCATATTTTATGTTGTTGATCAGTTGATGTAACATACTAACATACCTGCTATATTATTAGGAACACAGCAGAAAGAAATAATAGAAAAGAGTATCATTTTATTCATCTATATTAGTTATTCTTTTACTGCCTCAGCGCCTATATATTTCGAAATCTCTCCAACACACTCAGGCACTAAAACACATATACACGCCTATTTAATTCATGGCAGTTGGTGGTGCAGAGGCGGCGGCGGAGACGGCGGTGGTGGAGAACAAAGAGTGGTACATTGCTCGTTATGCACCAAAAGGGATTCCAAATTCTGATCAGATTAAGCTACGAACTCTGAGTTTTTCTCTAGCAGAAAACTCGATCCCAAATGGAAATGTTGCAGTACAAATCCTATATATTTCAATTGATCCATATTTACGCACTCAGTTGAGTGGCCTCTATGACGGGCTCTCCCTTCCTCAACTTTCACTTGGCCAGGTTTACCATTTTCCACCCTTTTTCTTTTTGTTTTCCCACCCCCGACGTTCGACACTAGTATTTGGGACCAACTAATCCGAATTCGCGTTAGTATGTTGTTAAATGAGGAAGCGCTCCTACCAGAATTTTTTCATTTCTAGGGCTTGAACTCAAAACATCTGATTAAGGATAGATGGGATCCTATCCATCCCACCATAATCTTAGGTGAAAGCATTTTCTATCTACCAATAACACGTCATAACACAAAACAAAAAATATTATACATGATATGTTATATATGACCATGACAAAAGAACAAAAGAGTCTTATTTAGTAATTATACAACAACAACCACAAGAACAACAACAACAAAAAAATCAGTGAAATCCCACAAGTGGGGTATGGTGAGGATAGTATGTATGTAGGTAGACCTTACCCCACCTTATGAGGGTAGAGATGTTGTTTCTGGTAGACCCTCGGCTCTGGAACAGTTATTTAGTAATTATACAATTCATAAGAAAACAACACATATTAAGTAAAGCTTGATAAGAGTTGAACAGGTTGGTTTATGACCCAAATTTTAGCCCATCTTGACCAGCTCATCTTAACCCAAGTAATCTTTAGGCGGATCATTTGACTCACCCAATTATTGATTCAACCTTTTTGATCTGCCCATTTGATACCCCTAGTGGCATCCCTTGTAATTGCCAAAGTAACATTTTAGTCGTCAAGAACAAAATTCACGAAAAATATTTTAAGATTTTTGCACACATACCCCTGAAGATAGATATTTAATAACCTTAATCGTAAACGTATCGTTGTTAAAACAAAATATGCTACATTAACTGAAACACCATAAGGGTAGCTTTGAAAAATAATAAAGGAGTAATATATTAATGACTTATTATTTTTTGGAAAAGAAATCCAATATTTTAAAACAAATTCAATTTGCCAAAACGTCTAATATTTGATATTCAACCAACCAACTTTCAATGTTCTGAATTAATGTGTTTTGAATCCCTTTATGCAGGTGATAAGAGCAAACGCAATAGGGAAAGTGATTCGTTCCAAGGACACCAATTTTTCAGAGGGAGATATAGTAACTACCTATATGTTTCCTGTCGCTGAATTTTGTGTTATGCCAATTAGTTGGCTTCAGAAAATTAATCCAACCATTGGGATTACGTTGCCGGATTATCTTAGTTGCTTGGGTAAATACCTCACCTTTTTTATCCCCGTGGAGTTGTTTGGTTGGAAAGAAGTTATCACGTGATTAATTATTGTGGAATTAGTTATTCCACTTTTCCATGGAATAAAAAAAAATACTACAATCTCGGGATTAATTATACCTCAATTTTCTCCCAACCAAACATGGGATAAACTCTTCTTAAATTTAATCCCGGTACTAATTATTCCTTATCCCTCGTAATAAACGAGCCTAGTATGTATAATTAATCCCACTCCTTTTTTTTAAATCAACACCTTTATGTCTTCTCATTGCTACTATTCTCCACTTTTATGTCTTTTCGCTTTTACTGTTCTTCAGTTTTATGTCCCTTCCTTCTTTTGTCACGTATCTAAATTATGTAAAGCCACTGAATCAAAGTTTTTTCATTTTCGGAAGGGGATCAGGATATTGTACTAGATGAATTGAGGAACGCCGAAAGCCCCTATGTACTAAGTGATTGTCGGGACATTAAGGTCGATGAGGTCATGGAGGCAATGCATAAGATGAGTAGGGGCAGAGCTACCGGACCAGATGAAATTCCGGTTGAGCTTTGGAGGTGTGTGGGTAGAGCAGGCTTGGAATGGCTTACTAAGTTCCTTAATGTTATATCCAAGACTAATAGGATGCCCGAAGAGTGGAGGTGGAGTACAATGGTCCCGTTGTATAAGAACAAAGGCGATATCCAGATCTGTAACAACTATATGGGTATTAAATTACTAAGTCATACCATGAAAGTCTGGGAGAGAGTGGTAGAAATGAGAGTGCGAAGGACGGTGTCTATTTCAGACAACCAGTTCGGGTTCATGCCGGGGCGATCTACCATAGAAGCTATCCACCTTATTAGGAGGACGGTGGAACAATACAGGGATAAGAAGAAGGATCTCCACATGGTGTTTATCGATCTAGAGAAAGCGTACGACA